TCTACTTTGTTAGTTACTTAGTTGTTCTTTTTGTTTTATCCCCCCTCCCTTTTTCTTTATATTTGTCTCTCTGTTTTAGTAATAGAGATAAAACATGGAGTCAGAAGTTTACGGAGGTGACAAGGATTTGGGAGGAGTTGAGGGAGGGGAAACAGTGAACAGAATATATGGTTAAAAATAACTGTTTGCAGAAAGGAGGGGAAGGGTGGGACTGGGAGGGGAGGAGGGAGGGGCTTATGGGGGGATACAAAATGATTAAAGTGTAATTAATAAAAGTTAAATAAAAAATAACTGTTTTTAGTAAAATGTAACATGATAATTAGGAAAATCTCAACGGAGGTGAATATAGCAAGACTGAAAATTTCTTGTCAACAGTTTACCATGTGAGAAAAATGACCCTACTACAGTGTTTCTTTGCACATTTTTTTTCCTGCTACCAACTGAGGTGAAGTCCGGAAACAAGACATGCTCTGGAGTTGTGAAAGGATAGTTGCTCACAGGAGTTAGCTACCTGCAAATTAGGGCTGAAAGTTGCTAAATTTAAGAGACTCTAGCTTTGAAAGTGAGTTTATATACAAAAGTGATGTCTGTAAAGAAGTTGACTTGGTAATCCTGAGCTTCAAATTACCCCTCTGTTCAAAGTAGGTAACATTTCTTCATAAAATTGCTCTAAGTGGTAAATAAATGACTTATAACTCCCAAGAATAAATTGCCTAACAGTTTGGTGATACACAACTGTGGTATACATGGTATACATGGGAAGCTGAGGCAGTAGGACTGTAAGTTTTAGGCCAAAATAGTCTACATAGCAAGCTCACAGACAAAACACTTTTCCCATAATAATATCGAATAATGGTTACAGAACAAATGAACATTTTCTCTCTCTTTTATTTTTGCTTACATTTTACGTTCCTTATCTGTTACAATTTATTTTTTATTCCACTCAACATGATGAGATGCCATGTCTCCTTAAATGCAAAATCACTTCTACTTTGTTTTGTGATCTCTTCCTAATTACTCTGTCTCCATAGGTCTTTTAGTTTAATTTGCTTTTCTTTTCTTTTTTTTTTTTAAATTTTATTTTTTTCTTATCAGTTACATTTTATTAACTCTGTATCCCAGCCGTGTCCAGATCCCTCATTCCCTCCCAGTCCCTCCCTCCCTCCCTCATCTCCACTGTGCCCCTTGCCAAGTCCACTGATAGGGGGAACCTCCTCCCCATTCATCTGATCCTGTTTTATCAGGTATCTTCAGGACTGGCTGCAAAGCTCTCCTCTGTGGCCTAACAGGACTGCTCCTCCCTTGGGGGGGGGGTGGGGAGGCCAAAGAGCCAGTCATTGAGTTCCTGTTAGAAATAGTCCTTGTTCCCCTCACTATGGGAAACCAATTGGTTACTGAGTTACCACAGGCTACATCTGAGCAGAGGTTCTAGGTTACATTCATACATGGTCCTTGGTTGCATGTCAGTCTCAGAAAAGACCCTGTGCCCAGATATGTTTGGTCCTTGTGGAGCTCCTATCCTTTCCTCATCATACTAACTCCCCTTCTTTCTTATGATTCCCTGAATTTGCTTTTCTTTGAGTTAAAAGACTTTTCATTTTCATGTAAATCATTTTCATTAAATGGACTACAATGGCAAGGAGTTTATTTTACCTTAAATATCAGGTGTTGGCATGTAGCTTGTAATTTAGTTATTTGGTTTTCATTTTTATTTGACCTACCTACAATACCCTGGTGTTCTTTATACCAACCGTATTTCTCTTTTGGATAAGAATTACCCTGAAATGTCCAACTTCTCTAAAAAGTATGATTTCTGCACACTACGTTCTAGGACAAACAGGCCTGTGTATTTGGCTATCTGAGGAATATATACTCATTGCCATCCAGGCAACGTTTTGAGATCTCTGTTCAGATAATAAAGAAGCAATTGTAATTTCATAGGAAGAGTAGTATTGACTCACATTAAAATTAGCTAGAGTAGGATTTTTTTTGCTTGTAAAAATGCATAGCTTCAAATTAACTGGTAGAAATGTGGGCTTGAAGGGAAGAAGACATCATGAGACTCACACCTGATCACATGGCTTGAACTCTGGTTCCACCTCTGCCAAATCTTTTGACTAGAGTGAGATCATAAGAGTTTTCCATTCTCCTAAAGTGTGTGTGTGTTTGTGAAATAGATGCTTAATCTAGATAAGTAATTTTATTATATTAACTTTCTATGAAGATTGGAATTACCGATGACGATGACTTTCCCTGCTTACTGATTGTGCATAAGACTGAGGAATAAATGAGTTTTGTTACATAATGAAGAGGATTAAAAGCACATTCTTAATGACATAGATAATGTTTCATTACCTTCCTATTTAAATAGTTACATATTTTATATTTAAATAAAACATCAAAGACCACTTCTGTATTCCAATCTGTAAAAATATTTTCATTATGTTTATTATAAAAATATAAATGTTCCAACTAGAAATCACTTTACATTAGTAAGAGGCCATCTACATTGTGCAACATAAACTAAATGAACAATGTTTTTAAAAAGCAAGTTTAAAGTAGACAATACTGCCAATCATATCATTTTTATACATGGCTTGAGAGATACTTAGTACAGCGTAGACTGGGTGTGTAGCCAGAAATAAATAATATCTATAAATCAAATTTAAGATACAAATCAGGTAATATGATATATGATTTGTGAGGGAGTGGCAGCCTCATTGTTATGGGTAGGCAATGTAGTTCCTGTACAAAGAGATGGCCCTAAGCATTCTAATACCTCTACTCCCCAGTCCAGAATCGTACATTGTTATGTTTACATATGTACAGGGAAGGGGTTATACAAAGGAAATTCATAAATGATCAGGTAGAAAAACACTGACAAATGAAGAACAACGTATTGTTTAAACCACATCGACTTTCAAACATAAAAAAGAAACCCAGCCAAAATAAATGTGAGAGTTTCAACATTTCTCAACATCTACTTATTTTGAAATTCTTTGTTGTTGAGTTGTCCAGAATATTGCCTAAGAGATTGAACACTGTTATGAGCAAACTGGTACAGGTATTATATTTAAATTTTGACCTAATATTCCAAAATGTAAATTACTTCATTAGAATATTTTTCTTGCTGCTTTCAGGAGATATAAGCAAAATTTATGATTAATTTCATTGGCCTGTTTCCAAAATGTTTATACTCTTGTAAGTCCAATACAAATTCTAGATTACAAGGAGTATTGCCAAAATTTGGGAAACAATTTCACATCTGAAAAAAAGAAACACACACCTAAGCCCTAGTATACTAAATCTACAACATATCACCATTTGGGAGCTTTCCTTTATGACTGGAAGTTAGATTTCTTTAGTGTCATGTTTTGCATATAGACATACTTGTTGCAGCATTGTATTAACCATCTTATTCTAGTACACATGCATTTTTTGAACATATGGAAAGGCAACATTAGCAAGAAAAGTCAGCATCTAAAATATTGCTTCTGCATGTATGGTCATCTGGATGTCCTCTAGGCATGTCCTTCTCAATATTTATGAACATGCTCAAGATTGGCCTTTAGGGAACAACAAGGCTACATCCCCACAGTGAGACATCTCTGCTTTGCCCGCAGTTGTGGATTCCTTTGCTAGATGAGATGATATTTCAAGAATGATATGTTTAATAACATCTTCAGAAGTTCAGGACTTCTAATCATGCACCCAAATTGCAATAGGTACATTGACCTGGAAGACTCAAAGATAGCTGTACCTGATACTGATGATGAAAATGTGTAACTAATTGACCTACACCCCATTGATGCAAATGAGTAAGTAGCTCAGTTATCATCATTCTCTACAAAGAGTATTTCAAGTTTAAGCAATGATAATAAGAGACTTTTCAAAGTCAGTGGTGTGTGTGTGTGTGTGTGTGTGTGTGTGGTGTAAGATGTATTTACCAATAGGCTGCTATCAATTAATGTAACCACCTAACTTCATTTTGATCTTTCGAGTTTTGCAAAGTTATGGAGCTCTAACAAGTTTCCTTCATGAATGAAAGGAGTTGATGTCTTTAAAGCACCAGAGTAAGAAAGGTATGACATCTGGTAAAAAAAAAAAAAAACAAAAAACAAAACAAAAAAAAAAAAAAAACTATTACATACAAGCCAGTATTTTACACTAAATTAGGAGCATACAGTTACTGATAAATGGAGAGACAAAAATGAATAGGATAATTCAGGCTGGGATGATTTGATTACTGTATGAACAGGGAAAGAGTTTCACTTTGTTGGTTCATATAAGTGGATTGTTCAACAGTTTTAGGAACACATCATTCTCTGGGTCGATTTAAACATGGTTCTTACTGTTGACAATTTGCGATAGCATTTGGCACTTGGCTGTAACAAAACTCAAATTAAGTCATCAAGGCATAAATACAAAACAATAAAAACCATCCAAAGAAAGAAAATAAATATGCGCTTTCCCCCAAAAATCAAGACATGTTTTTACACAGTATGCTTAAGGAAGGTAACAAGTAAAAATGTATAGTATTTAAAACAACTACAAACTTCATCTCTATATGCTTCAAACAGATAAAAGAGAATACTAACGTGATAAGGTAGTAAATATGGCCAGATAGTTTGAGGTATAAATGCCTCTATTTTGCTTGCTTTTAAAGGAACAAAATACCTGTTACAGATTTCTTCTGTGTATAAAAATATCACAAGTCTTTTTCTTTCTTTTTTTTTTTCCTGTGGCCATTCATGACAAAGCTGTCAGGTCCATTTTGCTAGTTTACTTGGTTTACTTCCATGATAGTTTATGATCAATGGCTCTCAGCTAGTTCTTCCATTTTGAGCTGAAGAATTTTAATTGACCCCATCAATTAACATAAAAAAGCAATTACAAAACAAAATGCACACACCCACCCATCTGTAAAATGATAGGGGAAATAAGGGGATTTTCAATTCAATTTTAAGGCATTTGGACTTATAACTGAGTGTCTTATTAGATTGGGAGCTCTCGCCAGTGTCTCTTCATCTCCATCTGTTTGCAGGAGGATACCACATCTTCCCCATTTCTCAAATCCATCTAGTACTTTACACTGGAACGGGACCATTCTTAGATTGTGTTTCTAGGGCTTTAATGCTGCTGATGATCTTCTTCTGTGGCCCAACCACAGTAACGCCAACCTTTTTCATGTCACTGTAAAATAAACAGGGAGAAAGTACCTGATGAGAATCATGGTGTTCTGTATATTGTAGAAAGGGAAAGTTTTAATTTTTTAATGGACACAATCATTTAACTATGTATTCCCATGATAGTTATCTGATTTACGTTTTTAATAAAATTGTTTTGCTGTTATATTTGGGCTATTCTATGCCTATTTCATGTAAGAATACAGATGTTGTAGTTGGTTAAATATGCATCTCACCTCTTTTGTCAACCCACAACTTCACACTAGGTCTTTAGGTAAAATTGCTGTCTTTTGGAGATCTAATTAAGGCAAAGATTAGGGAATAGAATTCTAGATAATGATGGATGGTAAATCCAGTGCATGTTTCTTTACAAGAAGCAGGGGAACCATACAAAGAGACATGGGAATGAAGAAAACATAAAAAAATGAGTCAAGGATTGAGTTATACTGTCACTCAAAATTCCATGGTTCATTGGAGGCTAGAAGAGTCAAGACTATTTTTTTATTGTTTATTATTATTAGTTAGATTTTATTAACTCTGTATCCCAGCTGTATCCCACTTCCTTATTCCCTCCCAATCCCACCCTCCCTTCCTCAGCTTCTCCCTGCCCCTTTCCAAGTCCACGGATTGGGGAGGACCTCCTCCCTTTTCGTCTGGCCCTGTTTTATCAGATATCAAAAGACCCTCCTGAACAAGTTTGTTGAGGGCTTGCTCTTACACTCTTGCCTCCAAAATTAGAGATGATATGTTCTGTTATTAAAGCTGACAACACTGTAGAAATATATGATGGCAAACCAACTAAGCTTTTATTTATTATCCCAACCAATAATAGATAATTATACACTTTTTTTTTAAAATCTTTTGCTATTTTCCTGAATCAGAACCATCTTGAGGCCTATTTTGACTCCTGGTCATTAAAAGTGTGAGGTGATGTTGTTCTGTGTCATATCTTATGACACAGAAATGTTCTGTTTAGTTTATCTTGGAGCACCCTTTCTGGGGCCACAGAAGTATCATGTAAGTCTGACCGTGCTGAGAGTATATAGGAGCAGGTTGGTCATCTTTACATTCCTAGCCATGCCAAGGCAGACAATTAAGGGAAAACAATGCCGACCCCATGAATAAAGATTAGACCTTTCTTTAACATATGAATATCAGGTCTCGATATCAGGTCTCCCTAAATTCATGGCTCACAACACTAATATATAGCTGAAATTTCTGTTGTCTTTGGAAAAAAAAAAGTATACCTTTAATTACAGGTAGTTTAAGCTCAGAAACTAGTCATTAAAATAAATATTGTAAGAAAAATAATTTTACAATAAAATAGATAAATATGTGTATTTTATGAATTACTCCTTGTTTGCATAATTCTATGATATGTGCATGTTTCACGTCCTTACTCAACCTATTCCTTTCTACTGAGAACTTGCTGATTTTCTCAAATAATTCAACTTCTCTGGAAATCCTATTTTTTTCTTCTTTAATTTCCCACCTCATTTTTTATTAGTATCAATTATGCCATTTATTTCTTATTTATTTTTTTCCCTTGCTTTGTTATTTGTCATGTCTCAAAAGCAGGTGAGTTCTCTATGAACCAGCATTCTTATTTTATTTGACCTTTGCTAACAGACAGTACCCTCAAGTAGAGACATTATATTTACTTCAGAAAAAAACATATACACATCTTTTTTTTTCTTTATTAATTACACTTTATTCACTTTGTATCCCCCCTGTGGTTCCCTCCCTCCTCCCATCCCAATCTCTTCCTTCCTCCTCCCTCTGCATGCATGCCCCTCCCCAAGTCCACTGATAGGGGAGGTCTTCTTTTCCTTCCTTCTGATCCTAGTCAATTAGGTCTCATCAGGAGTGGCTGCATTGTTATCTTCTGGTTATGCTGCTTCCCCCTCAGGGGGAGGTAAATTAAAGACCAGGCCAATCAGTTCATGTCAGAGACAGTCCCTGTTCCTATTACAATGGAACCCAATTGGATACTGAACTGCCATGGGCTACATTTGTGCAGGGGTCTTAGGTTATCTCCATGCATAGTTCTTGGTTGGAGTATCAGTCTCAGGAAAGACCTCTGTGCTCAGATTTTTTTGGTTCTGTTGCTCTCCTTGTGGAGTTCCTGTCCTCACCAGATCTTACTGTTTCCCACTTCTTTCTTAAGATTCCCTTCACTCAGCCCAAAGGTTGCCCACAAGTTTCAGCATCTGCATATATCCAAAAGAGTCTCAAATACAAAATAAGGACATTTGCTCAACCATGTTTGTAACAGCCTTATTTGTAATAGCCAGAAGCTGGAAACTGCCCAGATGTCTCTCAGTGGAGGAATGGATGCACAAATTGTGGTATATCTATACAATGGAATATTACTTAGCAATAAAAAACAAGGAAATCATGAAATTTGCAGGTAAATGGTGGGATCTGGAAAAGATCATCCTGAGTGAGCTATCCCAGAAGCAGAAAAATGCACATGATATATATTCACTCATATAGACATATAATGTAGAATAAACCTACTAAAATCTGTACACCTAAAGAAACTAATCAAGAGAGAGGACTCTTGCTAAAATGCTCAATTCCTATCCAGAAAGGCAAAGAGGCTGGACATCAGAAGAAGGAGAAAAGAGGGAACAAGTCAGGAGCCTGACACAGAGGTCTTCTGAAAAGCTCTGCCCTGCAGACTATCAATGCGTATATACATCTTTAACCACAGCGACTAGGAGGTAAAGGCAGTGGGATCTCTTTGAGTTCAAGTCAGCCTGAGCTACGTAGAGTTCCAGGACAACAAGAGCTACATGGAAGACCCTGTGTTGAATAAGTGGGAAGAAGGATACGAGGAAGAACAGAAAGAGGAGAAGGAGAAAGAGAAAGAAGGGAAGGAAGAAAAGGAGCTACTGAGAGTCCATAAGTGGCTTGGTGCATGCCTTGTTACTTCTTTACAGGTGCTGTCCTCAAATACATTCCTAAAGAAATCTACAAAAATGCTTTAGACTCCTAGGTCAGGAAAGTGATGCCAGCTAAAAGTAGATCTGTAACTGTGTTTAAGGTAGAGGATTACATTTGATTTTGGAGAACCTATGTAAATTATTCTTTTTGGTTATTCTCTGTCTTTTTTTTTAATGGAAACTTTCTTAACTTCTTTGTTTTCTCTGAACCATTCTGCCATCTCTATACTCTTATAAACAACTGCTACAATTTTAATACCATGCCTTGTGGGCTCATGTTATTCTGATAATCTTATGCAAAAGAGAAGCAGAATCATTCAAGATTGAAAAGCAGCTCCAGATAAGGACCAGGAACTGGTATGTTATCCTCAACTCATTCACAACGGGTGGGTCATAGCACTTAGGAAATGGCATTGAAAGGTGCACCATACTGATCTGTAACATTTGCTCTGTTCTGTGTTCATTACAAGAGTATAATCCCCTCCTGTCTCCACTGTTCCTGTCACTCTGTCCAACCCTGTGTTCCCCTTCTATCTCACTTAGGTCTTTTTAAAATCTACCCTATGCTGTAAAATAATATTTTAATAATTTTTTTGTCAAAAGTATGTTCCTGGCTTCATGTGAAAATCTGGGGACTTGAATAGCTTTCATTTTAATAAAATCCCTAAATTTCACTTTATTAAAATCCCTAAAATTTTTATTTCAATAAAATCCCTAAATAAATTAAAATATATTTGAAAGGAAAACTCTCCTGATCTTTCCATTGGGTTTGATGGACTGAGCAGGAAAACAGAAAGAAATTCAATGCCCTATCCATGTGTCTGCCTAGACTAGGAGATTTTCTAAGGTTATTTAGTCAAGTGGATCATTTCTGAATTGAGCTTCGATAGCACAAAGAAAATAGTGGTAGAGGTAAACAAGTTCGAAAGATAAAAACATAAGGGCAGCAGGAAACTTAAAATGTTGAGTTAAAGGTCTTTACAGCATTTGAAGTAAAAATGCTGCCTGGACATAAGTGAATTAAAGACAGTATGTGTGTGTGTGGGTGTGTGTGTGTGTGTGTGTGTGTGTGTGTGTGCCTGTGTCTCTGTGCTCTGCTTTTATGTGAATTCTGGCACTGGAACTCAGGTTTTGGTTTGTGTGACATTACTTAATGGACAGAGTCAAAGTCTCTAGCCAAGTAAAGATTTTTATTTATTAATTTATTTTTCTTTCTTTCTTCCTGTCTTCCTGTCTTCCTGTCTTTCTTTCTTTCTTTCTTTCTTTCTTTCTTTCTTTCTTTCTTTCTTTCTTTCTTTCTTTCTTTCTTTCTTTCTTTCTCTCTCTCTCTCTTTTTCTTTTTTTTTTTTTTACTGACTTTAAGTTTTTATTATTTTTTTTAATTTTATTTTTCTTTTTAGTTACATTTTGTTAACTCTGTGTCCCAGCTGTATCCCGCTCCCTCATTCCCTCCCCAACCCCACACTCCCTCCCTGGTCTCCTCCCTGCCCCTTTCCAAGTCCACTGATAGGGGAGGACCTCCTCCCCTTTCATTTGACCCTGTTTTATCAGGTATCTTCAGGGCTGACTGCAAAGTCCTCCTCTGTGGCCTAACAGACTGCTCCTCCCCTGGGGGGGGGGGTGTCAAACAGCCTGCCCTTGAGATCCTGTTAGAAATAGTCCGTGTTCCCCTTACTTTGGAAAACTACTTGGTTACTGAGCTACCACGGGCCACATCCGAGCAGAAGTTCTAGGTTATATCCATAGATGGTCCTTGGTTGAGTGTCAGTCTCAGGAAAGACCCTGTGCCCGGATATATTTGGTCCTTGTAGAGCTCCTATCCTTTCCATATCATACTAACTTCCCTTCTTTCATATGATTCCCTGCACTCTGCCGAGGGTTTGGTTATGAGTCTTAGTGTCTGCTTTGAAACACTGCTAGGTAGAGTCTTTCAGATGCCTTTTGTGGAAGACTCCTGTCATAAGTTCAATGCACATCCCATTTTTCTTTCTAAATGAGGATTTCTTTCTTTCTTTCTTTCTTTCTTTCTTTCTTTCTTTCTTTCTTTCTCTTTCTTTCTTTCTTTCTCTCTCTTTTTCTTTCTTTTATTCTTTCTATCTCTCTTTTTCTCTTTCTTTCTTTTTATAATTATGTAATTCTGTAACAATATAAACCAGAGGCCTACATAAGTACAGAGTGTGGTGCCTCAGGGAAGAAACATTACTAAGGCAATAGATACAATAGATACTGATCCTACATTGTTTCTAAACTGAGGAAAAAGGAAAGGTGGATAAGAAGACATCTTAGGGAGTAGAGGTCAGAAACATCTAAAACAATCTGTGGTCATTGAATGAAAATGGTCCTTTTGGGTTCAAACATGTGAATCTTTAGGTCCTGGTGGTGGGACAGTTTGAGAAGGATTAGGAGTTATAGCTCTGTTGAGTAGGTGTGTAAATGAGGTAAGGTTTGAGGTTTTTAAGCCTCAGGTGATTCCCTGAGAATGTGAGTTAGCTCACATTCTCCACCTAAGGCTTCTGGATCAGAAGTGTGGTCTCAGTTGTTTTAGCTCCATGCACATCTGCTACCATGCTGCCTGCCATAATGTACAGGACTAACCCTCTGAAGCTGTACGCAAGCTCCCAATTAAATGCTGTCCTTTATAAGTTGTCTATACCATGTTGTCTCTTCATAGAAACAGAACAGTGACCAACACACCCTAGGAATCCAAAAAAGTAGAGATTCTCAGAAAAGGCAAACTTGCTCCCTGAACTCACACTTACCTGTTCTTCAAATGCAAGCAATAGTGAAAGGAAATATTCTGCCAGCCAAAATAGTTTACTGTTCACTACTGTAATGATGACATAAATAAATGACTGGTTCTTAATTAAAAGATGCTTTTGGTTCACCTGTTTCGAACAAATAGCTTTCTTAATCTATTCACAGTTTCTAGAGGCTGACTGTGTTTATATTACAAAGTAGCAGTCAACCCTACTAAGAGTGTTCCGCCTCTTATATTTCAACGTAGTATGTCATTGTGCATTATGGAAAATAAACATTTGCATAATTTTGCTTTTGAAAAGTTGACATTTGATTGGAAACATTCAACTTTGTGGTTATCTCTTGTCATGCTTCTATGCTCTAAAGCAGGTGTCTTGTAGATCATAACCTTGTTTATGTTACTAAAATAAGAATGTATAAAAATGTTCAAAGGAAAAAAAAGGTTTGAATGCTTGAATATATCCCGTAACTATGTCTGATCAAAACAACGACCACAGAAACTCAATGTACTGTTGATTGGATGAGAAATCTCTTCAGTAAACACCACCTTCCACTTTAAACAGGACTGTCAGGGATGTTTTAGATGGGACAAAGTAAGTTTATGTTCTGAGAACAAGTTATTCTCCCTGCTAGCAATAAATGCTTTCACAGGTCCTTTTGTGATCTTAAATGTCCTAGAACACAACACTATAATACAAATTATACAACTTATTTCTTGTGCACGTATTCATGTATTAATTACACTGTGTACTACCCTCATTTGAAGATCTAACATGTGGCTCACCACAACGAAATTGTTGAAATGACTGTCAGGGTAACATTCAAAATTTTTATACATGCAATAACTTTTATATATCTCAACTGGAGAGGCTAAGCCTCAAGTGAACTTGAAATGACTAACAGTGACATTCAACAAAGTGAAGATGAAAGGGAGAAAGATGCAGTATTTTGGTCAGCTTGGAGTATATCTACCCAGCACACATGTTTATTTAAGACAGTCTCAAATCTCACATTTGGATGCAGGCCTCTAGAACCCAGTGAATGCTCTGTTGCCCTGCTTCCTTTGAACAGAATTTATAAGTAATGGTAAGCATGTGGATGTTCAGGTTCTCATGTCCAAGTGGAAATGAATCATTTCTTGTATCTCTGCTAGTGACTTGGTTAAGAGAGCAGCCCCATACTCAGCTGTGTGATACAATGGCAGAGTTGAAGTGTATGTATGTGTTAGTTTGTGTGTGTGTGTGTGTGTGTGTGTGTGTGAGAGAGAGAGAGAGAGAGAGAGAGAGAGAGAGAGATCAGAGACACACAAAAATTGATATTGTTTAGAACAGGAGAAAAAGACAGTCACATCAGCAAGTGAAGAAAAATGAATCTCATTTACAGAGAGAAGAGGAACATGACCACCTTTGTTTTCCAGTTTCCAATAATCATAACTTCAGTGAAAGAAAAAAAAAAAGATTTTTACTATAAGTACTTGGCTGTTTGTCTTTATTTTTAGGGACAGGGTTTCATATGGGCCAGACTTGTCTCAAACTGTCATGATGATGACTTTGAGCTTTTCATCTTCCATCTTGTTTTGTAGTGCTAGGTGTCCACAGGAGGTTTGTATAGTCTGGGGACTAAATCCACTGAACCATTTATCCAGATCTCACTTGATTCTCTATTGAAAAACTTTTCTTTAATTAAAGAGTTTCTCAAATAAAAGGATTCTTTTCAGAGTGACCCTTAAGAACCACAGCATGGTATATCTGGTTATTATTGACCTTTAACATTGAAAACAACCCAAAGGATAGTATATCTTCCCCAACTATGAGTCTTTTAAAGAAAATAAAAAAGGCCTTTTAAAACATACTGGAGGGGGCTACAGCTGGGATACAAAGTGAATAAAATGTAATTAATGTTAAAATTCTAAATAAAAAAATAAATAACAGTATTTTTATATTAAAAAACATCCTGGGAACTTCACTTTTCTGCCTGCGTTTCTTCACAGAGTAAACAATAATATGTGATGTTAAAATTTATATAGATAATAGATATTCTGCAGTTGTGAAAACCACTTTTGGATTTTGACCTGCCCTATCTCTAGTAGACCATTTATTCACTGCTCAATTTCTCATATGCACAAGATGTGAAACTTTCATTAAAAAAATAACAGTGGACTTGGGGAGTGGCATGCATGCAGAAAGGGGAAGGAGGATGGGATCCGGAGGGGAGGAGGGAGGGGCTTATGGGAGGATACAAAATGAATAAAGTGTAATTAATAAAAAATTAAAAAAGTAAAAAAAATAAAAAATAAAAATAAAAAAATAACAGGAAGTTGCCCAAGTAGGAGCACATGGGTTTGTGTTTAGTCATTTAACCAGGACAACCTGCTATCTAAGAAGACGCTATCCTGTGGGTCTTTCATGAAAAGGAAGATAGTTCAATACAGGTCAATATGTGTGTGATCCAAAGAACTGCAAGGGCACTGCTCCGCTGTTACGATGAACATTATTTTAAGAAGTAAAGCAGATATTATAATCCATAAATCTTAACCAGATATAATCGGGTATCTATAACCCATTAATGCAAAATAGATATGACCAGGAGGGAGTGTGCATCCCTCTGATTTCTCCCAGTATGCCACTTACTCTGTGGAGATCTTGGCGATGGTGTCGCAGGAGCTATATTCCACACCGGTGAAGATTTCCTTACAGTGTGCTGTCCGGACACCATTAACCCAATCACCAGTTGTGTGGAAGCTAGTGATGTCGACATTGCTTTGGTCCAGAAGAAGATTTGATGGCCTATGAGAAAAGAAAACAACCAAAGGAGAGAAATCAGAACTGATTGGAGTGACGAAGTGTCAAAATTACACACCATCTTCCATGGGGACTTTCATACTCCATGTGGTGTTCTTGTTTATTTGAGAAATTGATCTACCATGAAGCCTTCATCTGTTTAAGCTGGCTCCTTGGAAGGAGATGGTGGTCATCTCACCAAAGTGCTTTCTTTTCTGCCTTTCTCTGCTTTTTAAACCATCAAAACTTTGCCAGCATAATATATAAATATGCCACACATATCTTCACATAATTGACTGTTTTAATTCATTAGCAAAATGATATGGTTTGTATATATACAATTATAGCAAGCATGGCACAGTAAATACTTTCCTCTCTCCCTTATTAATGGACTCTGTTTCAATATTAATTTTTTTTCGAAAGGGTGGTTGTTTGTAGAAATTGTATACCATTGGTGAATAAAGATTAATTTGAAATATAAGGCATGCTTTACAGAAAGACTTGAAGCCAGTACCTATTTTATAACATTATCAATAACATTTAAAAATTACAAAAAGAATAGAAAATACCAGACGGATAATGATACATGAATTATTCCTTATCGCACAACACAAAATAGATATGACATACACATGATTGTGTATGTGTATATACATAAATTCAGAGATATGCAGATAAAGAGGCAGATTGTGGCTTATGTTGACAGCATTTATCAGAATTAATTAAAAACTCTTTAATACTGGTTTATGAAGTCATGATTCTATTTGTACATCTAGGAATCTTAGCCAGATTTGTTGAAACAAAAGTCCAAAAAATGAAATGGAGGAAATGGGAAATGGAGGACATGATGAGTCTATCCCTGAAGAGTAAAAAGAAGCAAGCTGTAAGTCTTCTTAGGGAGGGGATGCTTTTCTTTGTTTAGTTTTTCATGCCTCTCAGATCCTAGTGACCCCTTTCTTTAACTGTGCTTTGACTCATGCAAATCAGAGAATTTATTGACACCACTATTCTTTTTCATGAGAAAATTTAAAAACAGAGTGCTTACAAGGGATTTATTTGTGAATTAAATTTAAAACTCATGAACAATTATATTGTTCCAGGCCCTATGCTAAGCGCATTACACAGACATCAAGAATTAACCTTTACAACATCAGCTAGGCACAGATGGTGTATGCTTTATAATAGATACAGAAGCCAACCCTAACAGAAATTAAGTTACAATCTTGGTTCCCTGAGGCAAAAGAGACAGAACTGGGATTTAGACACAGCTTGTAAGAGAGCCGACGCTCTTTCCTGCTACACTACACCATTTGGGCAAAAGTTGTTTAAATCAGATTTCTTTTTTTTTTTTTTTCCTTAATGTAATTTTGATGATAGGATATGGACTCTGACCTACACATGCTATGATGTGTGAGGGAGGAACCCAGTGTCTAACACATATTATCTACGTGGCCTGGAGAGTTTCCTGTTTTCCTCATCTGTAAAATGGGATTTACGTGATGGACGTGGCTGGCAGATAAATGCACACATGTGCGCAGAGCAACGCTGCCTCATAGTTGCAGAGGTATGCCATCATACCGACATAGGCTGCAAACTCTATGAAACTGTTCGCAGTTTTAAAACTTCAAAAACAAAAGTTTAGTAAGTCTCAAGTTTTATGATATGGCTGGATTGGCATGATATTGTTAGTTACTGTGTTGAGGGGCTGGAGGCTTAGTCGTGTGTAATATTATACATACAAAGGTGTAGCAACCCTGAAGAGGCTATTATTAATGAACCCATTAGAATAGTCAATAATTTTACAAGCTCATTATGAGGTCAGAGTCAACACTCGTAAATGGCTGTGCTACTCTGTCTAATGTCGTTACTGTCCTCATTACTGAACTGAATAATGTTTATATTAAAACTATATATACTATAGTCTAATTTTCATAATTATGAATATGCATTTTGAGTATTTAACCTCATCAGAGTCGTTGTTCACAATCTTTCAGCTTTTGTGTAGTTGGCTTTAGATTTAATCTTTATCACTTAAAGACGTTTTAGTGTATTTAAAGATTCCTAAGACAAAAGGTTTCGTTCAATGTAGAGCATGTTCCAAGCTCTCTAGATTGATTCTGTAACATTAAATATCCATTATCATCAGTTTCAAACTGTTTTTAATTTGTATCTTTTTAAAAACACTTGTCTAAAATAAATACATATAACTTGAATTGTTAAAACTCAACATTCAGAAATATGAGAACTCAACTTAGACATTCAGAGAACTCCAAGATAAATGAAGAAACAATAGTATGCATTAATTTTTATTTTTGAAGTGAATTTATCTGTGGTTGGTTATCATGAGATCTTATTAAGTAACTGAGACCATGTGAGCATTCAGATACTCTGGAGCTGTCTGCTGTCTCCTTTATGAAAGCAATCAATGGTTATCATGTAGGCCATGTGGGGAAACATTCCTGTTGTAAGTAACAAAATCAGTCAGAGAGAATTTATTAATGTGCCAACTTGCATCCCAAAAGTACATTTTTAAATTTATATTTTAATTTTTTCATTCACTTTACAGCTTGAATGCAGAAATACTTTTAATTGGGAAGTTTCATTTACCACTGTTGATGCTTCTCATCATTCTTTAACATACAGAAGATATGCAAAGCATAAAGTTAAGCCTTATTAAATTCGATTTTATTTATTCTCTCTCTTTGTCTCTCTCTCTGTCTCTTTGTGAGTGTGTGTGTGTGCAAAACATGTTGTAGATGCTTGCACAACAATACACATGTGGATAGCAGATGACAATACTGTAGCATAGCTGTCTCCATCCACCTTTACATGGGTAATGATGATCAAACTCATTTCCTCAGTCCTAGGACCAAGCTACTTTATCTGCTGAGCCATGATCTCAGAGTCTTCCCCAGACCTACGTACTATTACTCACAGCATATGAGAAATTTATAAATTGATGTACAATTTTCCATTATTTATATGGGTATATGAAAGTAATCAGATTAAAACTTCCAAATCTAAGACTAATTTAATATTTTTGTCGATAGGCAGCATAGCTGAGCAATGGATTTTTTGGACAAGTCATCCTTCCCATATAAAAAGTACACAGGAAAACATTAAATCAAGTATGAGAAAGCTTTATAAGAAAAATGAAGTGAGGCCGAGATACAAAACCTTGAGATATAAAAATACCCTTGGATGGAAGAGATATAAAAGTACCCGCAGATGTGAACACACACAGACCAGACGGTTTCCACGTCTCCAGTAGCTGCTGCACAGAACCCATGAGAGCTCCTAGTTTCATGAATAGTAATACTTTTTTATTTATGGGTTTGTGGGTATGAAGAATCCAACCCCAGGCCATTTATTCAGGATATTTATGAAGTGTGCCTAATAACAAAATGGGAAACATTTTCTTCTCAGCTCGGGAAGGTTTGTATTTTTAAACTCAACACGTTGGACAGACTCAACAAGAAGTTGGGGAAAATGAGTATAAACAAATTGAAATAGAACAGGACATGTGGATTAGGGATTAGAGTGACCCCAGCTGAGTTTTTCTGCTTATGACTTGGATCAAAGTACAACCAGGACAAAAAAAAAAAAAAAAAAAAAAAAAAGAACCTAATTTTAATGCCAGTGACCTCAGAATAACCAGCCCTGCAAAGTATCATTTTTCCACTTCCAGGATTTCTCTAGGGATTTCAAATAAAAATTGGTTCCTTTCCTCCTCGGAGAGGACATCTGGAGAGTTTATCAATGGATAGGAATTTGTCTCTCACTGTGAAGAGCCTGTGATGTCTCTTCATACGCACCAAGGGAATCCGGCTTTCTGAGCAGCTGCAGGCAGCAGGGTTTTTTAGACCCAGCCCCAGACACTGGGTCTGAAGGGGAAATTTATAGACAGGGTGATGTGCTCCGTGAGCTCACACTTTTACTAGACAAATTAGATAGGTTTCAATCCATGCAGCTGTAAACGATGTCCTACAGAGTTCCACCTGATCTTTTACAGCTTTTCATAAATCAGTGCCTACTGGCCGCAGACCGCAGTCATTAAAAAGAAATCATGGAAATTACATGTTTGCTCAGGGGAAGCAAAAAATAACTTTCCTCCCCTGCTTTCTCCCTCCTTGTATTTTGGTTTCTGAATTATTCTTTTATGGGCTTTTATACCCTTGTGTTAAAGAGGGACACATATTTTTCTTCCCATCAACTCATATTTTAGCTGCCAGTGCTTACATACCAATTAGCACCAGGCAGTGGAGAACAAATGTCAGCTAACAACTTCCAAGCTTGAGAATATCTCCCAACCATCAGCTTGTTTCGGTACTGTCCCACATTCATTGGAGAAGTTACTCTTTTCTGGCTTTTTCTTTACAGACCCTCTATTCTCATGCCTCAAAATTATGAATAATATACATTTCTTGAACCAATAAGTAGGTGTCATGACATTTAGGAGACATCACTAATAATAATAATAATAATGCATGCTATAAAATATTTGAATTCTATTTTATTTATTGGGAATAGTTTCAGGGAATGTTAAGACATTTCTTAAAGCTGAAATATTAATACCGTTTTCTTTTATCATTTTTAGTGTCTTCTGTAATTTATTTTTTAAGCTTCAATTTGCTGCCTGTTAACTATATTAAAAAATAAATATTATATTTATCAATTTATTTGAATGTAGATCAATGCTAACCATTATCGTTTTATCTCTAATAATGAAAGTCCAGATATTATTAAATATATTGATTTTCCTTTGGTAATGGAAAGTAACTGAATATTCATATTCATTCAAAATTAAATGTAGAATAAATATTTCTTTGTTTCCCAATGAGAAATTACTAAATAAATGAAACATTAAGAATAAAGTCATTGTGTTACTTTAATTATCTTTATCTCTTAAGAGCAACCAGAACAGTTATAGCTCTTGTCTACTTTAATCATTTCCTATAGTAAAGTTAGTTACTTTGATTTGAAAATTCTTAATGAGAAGAAGAAAT